TTGATTGTGCAGCTGAAAAGGTTACTTTGACTAGCCTAAGTAAGGCTAGAGTGGTGTATAAAAAGGAAGGGAAAAGTTCAGGGCTGAGAATTATTTCTGCGATGCAACTTTAGAAGTTGGTTAAGATGGGTTGTCCTTTGTTTTTATGTAGTGTTCAAGAGATTGGAAAATGAGAAAAAGAAGGGTGATGGAAGTATTCTTGTTATAGAGGAGTTCCCGGATGTATTTCCATATGAGATTCCTGGTATACCACTAGTAAGGGATGTTGAGTTCACTATCGACCTAGTGCCTGGTACTGGCCTTATTTCTAAAGCTCCATATAGGATGGCTCTAGCTGAGATGAAAGAGTTTAAGACTCAGTTAGATGATTTATTGGAGAAAGGTTACATTCGACCTAGTTCCTCATCTTGGGGAGCTATAGTGTTGTTTGTAAAGTAAAAAAATGGAAGTATGAGGTTGTGCATTGATTATCGAGAGTTGAATAAAGTGACAGTGAAGAATAAGTATCCATAACCAAGGATCGATGATTTGTTTGACCAGTTGAAGGGGGCTGGAGTATTTTCAAAGATAGACTTGAGATCAGGTTATCACCAATTGAGAATTGCGGAGCAAGATATTTGCAAAGAATGCTTTCAGGACCCCCTATGGTCATTATGAGTTCACAGTCATGGCGTTTGGTTTGACCAATGCACCAGCAGTGTTCATGGATTTGATGCATAGGATTTTCAGGCCATACTCGGACAAGTTCTTAGTGGTGTTTATTGATGATATTTTGATCTATTCAAAGGATGAAGAGCAGCATAAGGAGCATTTGAGACAAATGTTGTCATGTTTAAGGGAGCAGTAATTGTATGCTAAGTTATCAAATCTCAGTGGAACCAAGCAAGATTCGAGCTGTCAGTGATTGGCCAACCCCAAAGAATGTGTCGGATGTGAGAAATTTCATGGGTTTGGCAAGCTATTACAGAAGGTTTGTGAAGGATTTTTCAAGCATTGTGAAGCCCATGACTAGTTTGATGAAAAAGGAGCATAAATTTCCATGGACTTAAGAGTGTGAAGAGGCATTCAAGACCTTGAAAGAAAGGTTAACCACATCACCTGTGATGTCTTTGCCGGATGGAAGTGATCTATATGAAGTGTATAGTGATGCATCGAGGTTTTGACTGGGATATGTTTTGATGCAAAGTCGAAGGGTGATTGCTTATGCTTCAAGGCAGTTGAAACCTCACGAAGAGAATCACCCAATCCATGATTTGGAGTTAGCTGCAATAGTGTTTTCTTTGAAGATTTGGAGGCATTATTTGTATGGGGTAACTTGTAGGATTTTCACAGATCATAAGAGTTTGAAGTATCACCCAAAAGCATTTGAATGGGAGGCAGAGAAGATGGTGGGAGTTTCTAAGTGACTATCTTTTGGATATTAAATATCATGAAGGAAAAGCTAATGTGGTGGTAGATGCTTTGAGTAGGAAGTCTGAACATTTAATGAATCTGATGGTAGTACCAGACCAGCTGTGTGTGGAATTTCTGAAGTTCAATTTGGAAATGATGGAACATGGAGAGGTGACTAGGATGTTGAATGCATTGGTGATTCAACCATCCATTTATGATGAGATAAGGGAAACTCAATTAGAAGATGATAAGTTGAAGGCGACAAAGAAAACGATCGGTGAAGGGCAGGTGTTGGATTTCACCATTGGTGATGAAGGGAGTATTCATTTAAAGGGAAGGTGGTGTGTACCGCAGAGTCGTGGAGATTTAAAGCATAGATTGATGGAAAAAGCCCATAATTCTCCTTATTCAATGCATCCTGAAGGGGATAAGTCGTATAAGGACATGAAGAAGACTTTTTGGTGGCCCAATATGAAAAGAGAAGTAGCTGAATTTGTGGCCAAGTGTTTGACATGTCAGAAAGTGAAGATTGAGCATCGTAGGCCTCAAGGAAAGGTACAATCCTTTGAAGTGCCCAAGTGGATGTGGGATCCGATTTGTATGGATTTTGTTGAAGCATTACCTAAGACCAAGGCAGGGAATGACACTATTTGAGTAATAGTGGACAGGTTGACGAAGTCAGCAGCATTTATACCCATGAGAAGTACTTGGGTTATTAATTAGTTGGGAAGAGCTTATGTGAAGTTTATGGTGAAGTACCATGGGGTACCCACGGCTATCATTTCGGATAGAGATTCAAGATTCCTGTCTAACTTTTGGCAAAGTTTATAAAAGGCGATGGGAACGAAGTTGTTAATGAGCATAACATTTCATCCTGTGACGGATGGTCAGACGGAAAGAACAATTTAGACATTGGAGGATATGTTGAGAGCTTGTGTGTTGGAGTATTAAGGGTCTTGGGAAGACCACTTAGATTTGATAGAGTTTTATTACAACAACAGCTATCATGCAAGCATTGGAATGACACCATTTGAAGTTTTGTATGGTCAGAAGTGTAGAAGTCTAGTTTGTTGGAATGATATAAGTGAGACTATGATACTTGGGCTTGAAATGATTGAGGATATGGTGAAACAAGTAAAGTTGATCCAGAAAAAGATAAAAGCAGCCCAAGATTGACAGAAAAGTTATGCTGATTTGAAAAGAAAGGAGGAGGAATATGAAGTGGGAGATAAAGTATTGTTGAAAATTTCACCCATGAAAGGAGTGATGAGGTTTGGCAAGAAGGGAAAGCTGAGCCCAAAGTACATAGGGCCATATGAGATCATCTAGTAAGTGGGAAAAGTGGCATATAAGTTGGATTTGCCAAATGAGCTAGAAAGGGTTCACAATGTGTTCCATGTGAGTCCAATTAGAAAGTATATACTTGATGTGACACATGTGTTATAACTGGCAACCATTGAGATGGATGATAATTTGACCTATGAGGAAAGACCAGTGAAGATTCTAGATTCTAAAGTGAGAAGTACAACGAACAAGGATGTGAGTATTGTGAAAGTGTTGTGGTCGAATCAGAAAACTGAGGAGGCTACATGGGAAGTTGAGCTGAGGCTGATATGAGGAAACGTTACCCAGAGCTATTTGCCTAAGGTTAGTTGTCAAGTTACGGGGGGCGTAACTTCTTTTAAGGGGGGTAGAGGGCGATAGAGTTTTGTGCGTTTACTTTTCGAGTCATTTTTGAGTGATTTTGAGTCTTTCTTGAGTTAGTTGGAGTCTTGAGTCCAGTTAGGATGTGCATGAACCAATAATTTAAAAATGATTTTCGTATCCCTTTTACCTACGTTTCGGGACGAAACTTCTTTTAAGGGGGGTAGACTGTAATACCCTGTATTTTTGAAATGTATTTTCTAATTAATAAATTAATTATTATTTTCTAAAAAGGGTATTTTAGTAATTTATTTTACTATTTGAATTTTGGAGCCAAAATGATATATGAATTTTGGCGCCAAAAATATTTTAAAACTTAATCATTATTTTAGGATTTGGGATAACATTTATTCTCCATTTATTTTTTTTAAGAAATCGCATTATTTATATATGTTTCAGATATTTTAATTAAGAAAAATGATATCTTATTATTTAATTAAGTGGTCCGAAAATTCCTAATGATTAGCTAAAGATTTCAGATTTCCCTAGTGTGGAAAATCTGATTTTCTTAGTTAATTATTTGAGGAATAATTGGTATTCTCTTAATTAATTATTTTATACAATATTTATTATTTACACAATTATATTTAATCCCTTAAATCTAGCCAAATAATTCCCTTAATATTACATAAGGGGTCCGAAAATTTGAGCTTTGGAAGCTCAAAATTTTCGTCCACCTTAGTTGGATTATTTTGGGTGATTTATTTTGGTAATTTGTATTTTTAATTATCACCCCACTACACGAAAAGAGCAAATTGGCAACGGTTTAAACCCCCCCCCCTAAGGCAACGGTTTTGAACCGTTGCGTATTTGAGGGTTGCCAAATCCCAAAATAATTGGCAACGGTTCAAATCCGTTGCCAACTCAAGCAATTGGCAACGGTAAACCGTTGCCAATGACCATGAACCCTTTTTTTTTTAAAAAAAAAAAAATAATTGGCAACGGTTAACCGTTGCCAATTGCTTGAGTTGGCAACGGTTAACCGTTGCCAAATACAATGGCACGCTTTTTTATTTTTTTTTTAATATTGGCAACGGTTAACCGTTGCCATTGACCTGTATTCTTTTTTTTTTTTTTTTTGCTGCAATATTGTTAGTATTATAATATTAATATTAATCATAATAATAATAATAATTATTATTATTATAATATTAATATTAATAATAATAATAATTATTATTATAATAGTAATAATAATAATTATTATGATAATAGTAACAATAATTAGTATTATTAATAACAATACATAAATAATTAATAATAACAATCGCAAGAGATGATATAAATTAGAAAAATGTTTCATGTATAGTACATAATTAGTAAGCTAAGGCTAGGATTGATGAAGTAGCTAGCTAGTAAACGATATTTACAAATTAAATGTGATGTAGGTCGCCAACATCTCCCGAATTACATGGAGTTCCTCACTCGTGTATGGCTGTCCCGTTTGCCCCTTGCAAAACTTAGAATACACAAAACGTGAGATAGTAGAAGTGAAGTAATAATAATTGGGGTTAGTTAAATGTGACTAATGCTTGAGATTACAATAAAAGAGCAAGTAAGAGGTTATGGGACGCAATTTCAACCAAAATGGCTCAAGTAAGGCCATTTTGGCTACTAGGATTTCTATATTCGATAATTCTTGTCTATTGAACTCATAACTATTTAAAACATGTCGTTATAAGGCCATTTTGGCTACTATGATGCCTATTTTCTACAATTCATTTCTATTGAACTCATAACTAGTTAAAACATGTCATTATCACTTAGGTAAATGTGACTAATGCTTGAGATTACAAGAAAAGAGCAAGTAAGAGGTTATGGGACGCAATTTCAACCAAAATGGCTCAAGTAAGGCCATTTTGGCTACTAGGAAGCCTATTTTCGATAAAACTTGTCTATTAAACTCATAACTAGTTAAAACATGTCATTATAACTTAGTTATAGGTGACTAATGCTTGAGATTACAAGAAAAGAGCAAGTAAGAGGTTTTGGGACGCAATTTCAACCAAAATGGCTCAAGTAAGGCCATTTTAGCTACTATGATGCCTATTTTCTACAATTCATGTCTATTGAACTCATAACTAGTTAAAACATGTCATTATCACTTATTTATAGGTGACTAATGCTTGAGATTACAAGAAAAGAGCAAGTAAGAGGTTTTGGGACGCAATTTCAACCAAAATGGCTCAAGTAAGGCCATTTTGGCTACTATGATGCCTATTTTATACAATTCATGTCTATTGAACTCATAACTAGTTAAAACATGTCATTATCACTTAGTTAAATGTGACTAATGCTTGAGATTACAAGAAAAGAGCAATTAATATGTTTTGGGACGCAATTTCAACCAAAATGGCATACCTCTTCAAGCTGACGTGTGTTTGTACAATGACTCATCACTATGTCATACATGAATCTCATCACGTATAGGCCACAGTCAACTCCGTTTTCCTGTTGTGCGCACTAGCATGAGGAACAAAGCACATGAATCAAAATGCATAGCAAATAAGCAACATCTTAAGCATTGTAAAGTAAGAAAATCACAACATCATGGGTGAATTACCTTGGGTGCTTTCCATGTAGGACCTCGAGGAGATCGAGGATTTATCTTCTTCATGGTACTACAAAAAATCAAAGTAATAAGTTCAAATTTGACTAGTATAATCAATACATATGAGTTCATATATGAAAGTGAATAACAAGAAATGAAATAAACTAGATGCTTACTTTTGCAGTATGAACCTCACAAGGCGCTTTCTTACTTGAGGTAACCGAGCAGAATCAATGTAGAAGATTGTGTTACTGGAAACACAAATCACAAGTAGGGTCCAATGATAACTACACACGAGACAAACAAATCATAGTTAGCCTGTTACAACAAATAAACTGGGAAAACAAATGAACTTGACTAGCATAATCAGACGTACTCCTCATAGTATGGGATGAATATAAACTTGCCTCCCGCACTCACTGATTTCCTGATACCCCGTTCAGCATAGTACAACACGTCAGCGGAGTTGCCTAAGATTCTAGCAGTGGACATCTGCTCAGGGCACAACCACCCAACTTGACAAGGAGATTCAAGCTCCCATATTTTCTCCTGGAGTGCTCTGCATGCATGATAACACAATGTTAATCGAAAACCAAACGAAAAACACCACTAAACTGAATAACATAAATTGAGTACCAGTTGAATTACCTCATGGATATTTGAATGAGGGAAATGTTAAGCATTGCACCACTTAGAAATTCCTTGACATCTTCTTTGAATAGCCATGCCATTGCATGATCATTGTAGTGGAACATTTCCTTAGGAAGTTGAATTTGGATGGGGCTGTCATTAGGTAACACGCAAACACGGTTGTGCAAATAAGCTAACTCCTGAGATAGTGATTGAAGCACCGTGTCTTCAACTAATGGAGTAGCTTGCGTAGCTGAACCTCGTGAAGGGCTCTTCATCGACGCCTTTCTACTCACCGAGCCATGTTCACTCCTGTTCTTTGGCCCCTCCACCCTCTTCTTCGGAGTTTGGCTTTTCCTCGATGGCTAATAAGACAGATCACACAAATGGTTAGAAAAGATTTCCATCCAACTCTTGGGAAGAAAAGATTAAAGCGTGAAATCTAAATCTTAATTACCTGGTTCATCAACCGTATCTAAGCAGATGGCCATTGCACAAAACTACCTTTGATATAGGTAAATGTAGCTTGTACTAAATACAATAACAACTTAAAAAGGCCTTACATTTGTGGAGGGGGAGCCTTATGCGTTTAATGGAGGGGGAGCTGAGCCTTGCGCGTATAAATGTAGGAGTTAAGTAGCAATTATTGACAAACCCTAGAAATTACAAGAAACTTGTCAATATTAACTAATTTAAAGACCAATTCTTCAAAAACCATAACGATGGAGGAGCGCTATTACGACTTACCTAGCAATGAGGAGCGCTATAACAATGGAGGAGATGCTACATACTTCAATAATGCAAGTATATATGGAGGGAGGCAGAAGAGAAGAGCTGAGTGCGTGCGTGAGGGAGGCAAAAGCAAAAACGTGAGTGCGTGCGTTTTTGGAGGTGAAAGCAAAATCAGAGGTGAAAGCAAAAACAGAGGAGTGCGTACGTGAGGGAGGCAGAAGAACAAACCCCTTCAATGGAAGCTTCAATTCAATGGAGGAATGGTTTGGGGAGAGGGAAGGCGTGCGTTTTTGGAAGTGAAAGAAGAACGTTTGCACAGTCTTGCTGTTTGTATTCAAAAACCCGAATTTTTTTTTTAAATTGGCAACGGTTAACCGTTGCCAATCTACCCCTTTTAATTTTTTTTTAAATTTTATCAATTGGCAACGGTTAACCGTTGCCAAATGTGTCCAAATTTTATTTTATTTTTTTTAAAATGGCGCTCACAGCAAATTGGCAACGGTTTTCATGAACCGTTGCCATAGGGGGGTTGCCTAATTCTTTTTTTTACTAGTGCCCTTAAATTTATTATTTTTCCTTAATTCTTATTTTCCATCTCCTAAATATTTGATCATCTTATTTCCCTACCTTATATCATCCTTGATTATTCCCCAAGCAAGCTCTTTTGCCATATTATTTTTCATGACAACACACTTTCCCTAAATTAATTATTCTTAGCCACCTTAATATTAAACTTTCCATAATTCTTTAGCTCTCTTCTCCAAGTAATTTCTTTAATTTTTTTTTGTTTACCATAATTCTTCTTACATTCTCCTACTATAATTCTTGCATGAGCAAGCCTATAAATACCCCTGATTCATGGCTAAACACTCACACCAAATTCTCTAATTCTCTCTTAATCTCTCTAATTTTCTCCTTCTCTTTTCTTACTTTCACTCAGCCACCACCACAAAACACCACCTGCCACCGCTGGCTTCCACCAGCCGCCACCACCTCCGATGCCGACCACCGGCAGAAGCCACATGCTGGCGTGCTAATTCCCTCTTTTCCGCCACCTTCTTCTCCTATTTTCCTTGTTTTTCTACCTCTTCTTTTTCTTTTCTCTTATTTAATTAATTATTATTATTATGGGGAATTTATAAAAATTATTATGAGTAGTTTTAATTAAATAAAATCAGATTTTTATTCAAGTTTATGAAAAATAATTTATAAGGTTCATGTACATATAGTTGGGGGTTTTTAATTTAATTGTTGTGATTATTTGTTAACCTTATATTAATTAAGGTTATATTTATTTGTAGGGTGTATTTGATCAAAGTTCTTGAAGTTCTTTTGTGTGTGCTAAGCAAGGATCAAAGATACGTTTAGGTGGCTAGATACCTTTGAAATTGATTAGATTGAATAGGCATGTTTTATATGATTTTTATGATGATTGAATTAAATTAAATTGAATTATGATTTATGAAATAAAAATATGTTTAAATAATTTATTTTGATAAATAAATTGGAGGATTATTGATTTTATATCATGTTTTGAATGATTAACATTATTTATCATGTTTTAAAGCAAGGTTTGATTTTGAAAGCATGTTGAATTAAATAAAAAGGTGTTTGAATTAAAGAGGTTTTATTGTATTATTAAAAGCTTTATAAGCATGATTATTATATTAATCCCACTATGTGGATTCGTTGAAGACTATGGACTTTGTATGACCTAGTCTTTCCTCAAGAATAACCTAGAAATAATAGGAGACTAGCTTGGGGGGTGTGCACACTTAGAGAGGAAATTGGGGTTTTAAAAAGAATTGATTTTATTAATCACTATTATTGAGTTATTGAGCTATTGATATTATATTTGAGAATTGGTTTTGAATCATGAGTTTTGGAATTTATTAGATTAATTATTGGAATTGGTTTTAAAAGCATGTTTGCAAATAAATTGGGTTTACTTATCTAGCACTTATCGTACTTAGCATATTTTGCTAATCCGTATTTCCTATTTGTTTTTGTTTGTCCTGTTTACCTTAATGGTAAGAAGTGTTGACTATTTCAGGTGGAGTCAATAATTGAGCATATAGGAGTCCCGGGATGGTCTTCACCTAGATTTAGGAATGTTGGTCTTTGTTTTTATTATGAGTACTTAGGACAATGATTTCTATTTATAGTTATTATTAATAAAGAACGAGTTTGAGTTTCCACTGCAAAGTATTGGTTTTGGTTAGTAGTTTGAGTAGCCTTGCGTAATCACGCGGCGGTAATACGCCTAGTCTATCTCTACGGTATAATTATACGTATTATACTAGTATTTCTGTAGAGGGAGATTTAGAGGTGTTACACCTCTCCTTCAACTTATACAATTGTAGACCTGGATCTATCCTTTACTTAATGGAATGCATTTGCATCTTTTGTCATATGTTTATCTACTCGTTTCTTTGAGCAGTCTAACTTGTTTTACTTCTTTTAGGAAAGCTTCCTTATTGCTTTTGTTTTACGTTAGCAAGGTTATCAGTCTTTGAAACCGGTAACACGAGGGGCAGCCCCCTAATACTCTAGAACAAGATAGAGTATTCAAATTGTTGGTAAAGAACAGTATTTACCTTAATATACACTAACAAGTAACCCCTATAATGGCTGGCCAGCCATATAAGAATTTGTGAACTAAGAATCTCAACTCTGTTAGAAAGTTTACTAATTAAAGATAATTTCGTATTAGTTGAGTTGATCCATTTGGGTTTTTTTTTTGTGAACAAATATCAGACGGGGAGACCAATCAGGAGGTGTGATAGTCAAAGCGACCTTTATCCAATTTCATTTTCTCTCAACAATCAAGCTTCCTCTTTTACTGCTACCTCTTTTCTAAGCTATAGCATGAGCGTTTGGGTCATCTAGGGGCTCCTATATTAGATTTGCTGAGGAAGAATGAAGGAATTGATTGTAATGAACTTTCTAGTTCTAGTATTTGTGGATCTTGTGTACTTGGAGAACATATTAAGTTTCCGTTTGTTTCTTCTTCGTCGAGTACTACTATGCCTTTAATATTTTACATAGTGATCTTTGGTCCTCTCCTGTTTCGAGTTCTGTAAGACATCGTTATTACATATTATTTCATGATGATTTCTCTATGTATTTATGGACTTTTCCTTTGGGTCGAAAATTTGATGTGTATGACATTTTCCTGGCCTTTAAAACCCATATATCCACTCAATTTGAGGTTAATATTAAAAATTTGCAATGTGATAATGATCGGGAGTTTGATAATAGTTCTTTTTGAGACTGACATGTCATTCCGCCTTTCTTGTCCTCACACTTCATCTATAAATTGGAAAGCCCAACTCAAAATTGAGACTATAAACAATATATCTCGTACTCTCCTTGCTCATGCATTTCTCCCTCCCTTAATTTGGCATCATGCTCTCCAAATGGCAACCTATCTTCTTAATGTACTTCCGAGTAAATTGTTGGGTAATAAGTCTTCTCTTGAGCTTTTTTATAAACGGATTCCTTCTTATGGTCATCGATCTCCGGGTTTTTGGGCGTGTATGTGTTTCACAACCATTCATAAGTTGCAACCGAGGTCTACTCCTTGTGTGTTTCAAGGGTAGCCAACTAATCATCGTGGCTATAAGTGTTATGATATGTCATCTCAAAAAATTATTATTTGTCGCCACGTATTATTTGATGAGCATGTTTTTCCCTTTGCGAATGTGCATTCCCCATAATCACATACGTATGACTTTCTTGATGAAGGCTTGTCATCATATGTCATCCACCATCTTGAACAATCTACTCCAACCCCTTCTGATCAACCTAACTCACCGAATAGGTCCAGCTCACCAACTTGGCTCAGTCCACCCCTGGCCTAGCAGTTGATTCCCCCTAATGACTATCCTGTGTCTCTGCTGGTTCATACTCTAACTGGGCCGCACTCTCCTTTACACCCAGGGCCTACTTCCCCTTCTCAAATCCCTACATCCCAAACACAACCCATCACCTCCACTCTAGTTTCACAAGCTATTCCCCTTCCCCAACAAAGAGTTACGTTGTCACATGTAGCCAATGTGGGATATTTAAGCTCAACAGGTTGGCATTGATTGTGGTGAGACTTTTAGTCTGGTGGTAAAACAGGCTACGATCAGCACTGTTGTGAGTCTTTCTCTATCAAAGACATGGCCCATTCATCGATTGGATGTGAAAAATGCTTTTTTATATGGTGAGTTTCAGGAAACTGTTTATATGTACGAACCCTTAGTTACAGGAACCGTGATCATCCAAATTATGTGTGTCTATTGTGTATCAAGATTATGTATGTCTATTGCGTAAGTCATTATATGGCTTGAAACATGCACCTCGGGCTTAGTATAAGAGATTTGCTGATTATGCTGCGTTTATTGTGTTTACTAATAACAAGTGTGATAATTCTTTATTCATTTTCAGTAAAGGGTCAGACATGGCTTATATTTTACTATATGTTGATGATATTATTATCATTACTTATACTAGATTATCACACTACTATATTAAGGGATAAGTTCTTGTAAGCCGTCCACTACTCCGGTTGACACCAAGTCAAAGGTAAGTGCCATGTCTGGTGCTATTTTGATGATCTGACTCTGTATCAAAGCCTTGTTGGGGCTCTA